CTTCATGTAAACAGGCTGCTATCTTTTTAAGTACCAGGCTATTTAACTCCTGGCTTTTGTGGAAGGAGATATGGAGGGTTCTTGCTCTTTAGAATATAAAAGAAACAAACCTGACAAAGCTGGCTGAGGTAAAAACTCCTATAAATAGGACTAGCACAGGCTAATTTTTTTTTACTTTCATTTATACTTCAGTGAAAGTTTTCACCATAGTTGTCTTCTGAGACATGTAAAAGAGCACTATTTGGTATGGATAGGCATTACATTTGTGCTGAGAGAAATGCTTTTCTGCTGGCACAAAAAGAGAGCATATAGCCATTTGGGGGGGGGGGTGTTGTTTTTGTTTTTCTTGGAAGAGAACTGGCTGTTTCATGGAGGAAAGAGTATTTCCAATCAGGAAGATCTCTCTCCTGTGGAGGCAAACTGAGCTGCTGTACTCTTCTCCTGCATCTTTCACAAACTAGTGACCCTAGTGTGTGGAAGGCTCAGGAACATATCCTTGTGGCTTGACTCATCCTAGGTAGTGGGAGAAAATGAGCTGCAACTTGCCCCCTGAGCCTTCCACTTTTATAGGGAAGACCTTGATTTGTGCAAGCATTAGAGAGATTTCCCGACCACTTGACTCCACCCAGGGATGTGGAGGATTTGCACTTCCCCTCGCAACCTTTTCCAGTTCAGGGTCACCCCAGTCAGGGGAAGGTTTCAGGTGTACTTCCCTGAAGCCATCATGGACCCAATAACAAGGGCTGAGAACTTTCAGCCTTGGTTTGCCTACAGGGAAGATGTGGTGGTTGCAGGCTGGAATGCCTGTACACTCCTCTAGCCAGGATTTCTAGTGCTGCAGATTTCCCAGAAAACTCATTCCAAAGAAATTGGTTTTCAATGTGTCATGTTAACAACTTGTATTTAATATAGAATCTAAATACTCAAATGTTGGTAGTTAAACTTAGCTTAAATATGTACCATAAACTCCTTATTTGTATTTGCATTTAAACTACTGGTGACCTACATGCATTAGTGATTGTCCTGTTACTTAATGTTCACTACTTCTTATTCACCGGAACTTAGAGACAATCATATTCACTTGCCCTGATCCCCAGGATTCTGTGCTGGGTTTTGTGCTAGTTCCGTTTATTCTGGGACCTCTGTTGACTCTGAAATGTATTGTGTGATAGGACTGCGAAATTTTGCTGACTGTTTCAATGCTGTTTTGACTTGTTTCGAGCTTGAA